GAGTGATCAGCTCTTCCTCCCTGAACCTCTTTTCTGCCTTCCAGGAGGTTTGACGCTGCGGCTGAGCCTGCTTCTGCCTAATCTTTGCCTTGGACTTTTCCTCGGTCGACACGAGCGACGCTGTCCGAGCATTGGTTGCCTCCTCTTCTTCTAGGCGCACAAAGCCGTCGGCTCTTTCATTGAGTTCATCCATAGTCGTCGGCGTATTCACTACCAGACTGGTATGGAATGGAGTGCCACGTGTCATGGCTAACTTGAAGGCTTGAACCGCTATAGAAGGGTGGCATTCGATCACCATACTCTTAGTGAGATTAAACCTGGTGAGAAAAGCCTGGAGACGTTCATCTTTGTGCTGTCTCATTGTGAATAGGCTTGAGATGTCATTTGGCGGACGCTTGTTCCCATAGTACTGGCTTATGAACCGATCGCACAGGTCTCGGAAGCTACCAATGGATCTCCTAGGCAAGTTCTTGAACCAGCTGAGCGCCGGTCCAGCTAGGCTTGTAGGGAAACATTTGCACATTAAAGCGTCGTTTTCCGTATTCAGGGCCATCTTCAACTGGATATGGTACACATGATCGATCGGATCGGTTGTTCCGTCAAACAGAATAAATACTGGCATAGCAAACTTCCTTGGATGCGGGGCATTCAGGATCTCGTCAGTGAATGGTGAATCAACCGTTCGTGCCGCGGATCGGAGTGCTTCATTCTCTCTTTGGCGCCCAGTGGTAGTTCTGTGAGCTACGGTTCTGCTCTCCGAACCGCGATGAGTGATTGTAGCCATGGAGGGCCGGTAGGACGGATCGAACGACCGTTCCTCTATGAGCTCTCTTTGCCAAGGCGACGCAACTTGGCGGCGATCAACCTCTATCACCTCCTCTCCGTTGAACCTTTCCCGATGCGGATCGAAGGTCATGGCTTCGTTCTGTCTGATCTGTTCATGTCGCGGATCAACGTGAGTCGATCCTTCGAGATCCTCAACTCGACGAGCATTTGGCGGCAAATCGTCCATCCTTCTTTCATCACGGTGGAGAGCTGACTGACTGTTCTCGTCCTGCTCGCCTTGATGCGCGATATTAGATTAAACACCTCCTTCTCCAGCCGGAGGTGGACGCGAAACCGCGGGTATTTGCTGATGTTGCATTCCAGCTTTCAATTCTGCATTCTCTTTTTTGAGAGCCTCGATCAAGTTCATCAACTCCTCAAGCTTTGTTTGCTGGACAGCTTCCATTGGATTGGAGCTTTCACCTATCATTATTCTTGAACGGAGTAAAGGCATTAATCTCAAGCTAGCGAGTAGATCCGAGCTTCGTGAGTGGGAATTTTTCAGATCTGGTTTCGAATTCTCCGAATTATGCTCACGGTTGACGAGATCTGAATTGTCCGAATTCTAAATCCGTCAGATCCTGCCACAATCGAACAACTCGTTGTTGCGTAGATCTGAAGCCACTTCTGCCAAAACTACAGGAACTAAAATTCCTCCAGAGTAGGTCACAATCGCTCAGATCTGGATTCAATTCCCAAAGATCGAGTCTCGATCCTCCGAATTGGTCTGAATCCACGCGATATTAATCATTGATCAACCAATCTTCCATGATTCCCACAGACGGCGCCAATTGAAGATACAAGAAAATTCCTTCCCTCTTTCTCTCTCTAGAATTCTTGTATTTCAACCCAAAAATATCTATCCCCTCTTCTTTCCATTACTTCTCCTATTTATAGATATTTACAAATGTTGATGGACTGCTGGATCTATGCCCGTTCCTCCATAAGTCTTGGTCATCTTTGATGGGCTTATTCGCGTTCGGCCTATATGGCAGTGTCTTTCTATGGGCCTGACCTATCTGTACGGACCGGATGTCGCGTTTGCAAGTCATATCCGGCCCATGTCATCTCGGGCCTCCTCAGGTGCTTAGCCACATTCCTTGTTTTCTTGTTACAAGATAAATTATATTTTTTCCCCTTGTGCGTTTTTGTTATTTATCCTTACAAAGATTAAAATTCTCACTTTGATACTTGGTGGATAACATTAAGATTTTGCATGAACTCATATCCACCAAAGAGTTATGTCTTAGTGTTTTCATTTTGATACTTGGTGGATAACATTAAGATTTTGCATAGATATATGATTTATGAGTTTCTTACTGATTAACTGGGTGGGTATGACAGATATGAAGTAAGTGGGGTCATCTTTACCAGAAGATTAAGAAATTATTGATGGTTGGTATGATCCAGATTTAAATATTCATGGCTTGTGCCTAAACCACGTTTTGATATATGCTTACCCATTATCTTAAAAGATGTTACTTTGTGCATGTCCCATGTGTGCGGACTCTATTACCTAATTTTGTCAGTCAGGCACGAGGGAGGAGTATCTCTCCATTTAACAAATCTAGTAATTATGCGCAATTTGATTTGAGGTTATGACCTTCAGACACAACGGAATGAAAACATATATGAGACAGTGGATCCCAAACAGGATTCATATGTAATGTTGTTGCAATTCTTTCTCACACACACACACACACACACCAAAAATCACATAGAAATCCAATGATCTCTGATTTTCAGTTAATTTTTTACTAGAATTTTGACATACATTTGATTTGACCTCCTTAGAAACTTTTAATGTGCTATTTGTGGGAGTTAACATGTCAAATTAAAAAATAAATAAATAAAAGTACCTTAAAACTAAGGAGGAAAGGGATAAGTTAGATACGAAGTGGTTGGTGTCCCTATCAATAATCTAATAACAAAATACTAAATAGAATTGGGTGATATTGTTTGAAACTTTATCCACCATGTGGGTCAGTAGAAACAGACCCTCTTAGGGCTAAGGTACAGGAGACTCACATGGGGGAAGGGAGGACAGGCAATAGAGGTAGGTGAGGGTTCTTTTAGGACAACCCGACGAGTACTCATGTTCAAATACCTAAGCACATGACCTCCACGAGTTGCTGAGTTGGTTGTCACCATACAAAATCAGATTGTTGCCTACCCATAACCACTTCCCATTCTCTCAAAACCTTCTCAATCAGTTGTATTTTAAACCCTTCCATTTTTACATGCATTAAAACGACGACGGTATCGTTTTGATACACCTAACACGTTATATCAATAGTGACGTATCGTTGTATCAAGAACACGACACGTGTAATATGTAACATTTTCTAAATAAGTGAATGATGCAGTGGAAGGTAGATGGGGAAAGAATATAGGTCGAAAATTTTGTAAGTTGAATCCTAATACGCGTGGAATTCAAATGTATATAAATATGTGCATTTGAACGCCGGTTATCGGATAGAGACTGATGTACCAACCACTATTAATTATAACAACCTAACTACAAGCGCTGTTCCATCAAAACAAGAGAGCACAAGCAATTAATGCGTGAACAGAGACACGTTATTCATCATTTCCTAACTAATTAATTTCATACCCTACTTTTTCTTTCTTCTCTTTTATTATTGTTGAGCGTCATATGTTCCATATAGTCAGCTTTAAATAGTTTTGTTGTAGCTTCAATTTTTAGAAAGCAAAACAAATGGAAATAACATGATAAAATTTATTTAGAGCTGGACTGTTAAACTTCGCATGGATGTAAGGGGTGGTTGACATCAACTAATCGCTTGATTGTCAGACTCCATGAGTAGGGAGTTGACATCAACCAATCGTCCGATTGATATGTAGTTTTTTGATTTTCTTATCGGAAAAATAATGTACGTTGTGGGAATAAAATCATATATGGTGTCACAGTTTTAAAACCAAAGGTGGAGCCACTAGTATTTGTGGAAAAGCTGAAGGTATAGGTAAAATACAAGTATGAAGTTACACAAGTGGATATCTCTCTCTCTCTCTCTCTCTCTCTCTCTCTCTCTCTCTCAAATCATGAAAACAAAATTGATGCTATAGGTTAAAAGTTTCATGATTCATGGGCGCAAGTTGTATTCGATCAATGTTGTTTTCACACATCTCTCTCTCTATAGAGATAGAGAGAGAGAGAGAGAGAGATAGAGATGTGGTGGGTAACAAGTACTAATACCCAAATTGAGAGTATATAGCAACAAAAAGTTGAATAAACCTATCCATCCCTAACCCTACTTTGTTGCCAAAGCTTGTACCACAAAGTTAGGAGGAAAAAAAAAAAAAGAAGAAGTGGAAGGTGAACCAAAGCCCACATACAACCGCAACCACACTCATAATTTCCTTTCCTTTTCTTCGCTTTTTCTTTTATCAATATCCCCCATTTGTACCCAACTTCCATGTCTTCTAGAAACCCCCCTCTCTCTCTCTCTCTCTCATGCATGATAGAAAACTAATTAAAAAAATAAAGTAATATAAAAAAATCACAACCACCACAGTACCATTCTATACTAGTTTTGCACGAGAATAGCGAAACCCACTTGGAGTACATTTCTATCCCAAACGCCAACTACAATTACTCAAACCAGCAAGAATTTATATTTCCTCATTGAAACATGTACCCAACCAAGTTCATGTAAGTTGAAAATAAATGCTTCCCTTTTAATCTTTTCTGTCCTCCTCCAATGTCATTTCATATATACGTGAAAGATAAATTAGCTACACAAATTTATAGCTAGCAATCTGTGATAAATATTGTAACACAACATTAGATATTTCCGAATATTTTCAAATAAAATCAATTAAGTTAAACCAACATGTCACAAAAAAGAGGTCAGATTAATGGTGGCAGAGTAATAAACAATTCCAATAGATACAGGTTACTAATTATAAACAAAAAAATGTTATAGAAATGCACATGTTTTTGTATGTGGTACAAATTGAATGAGGAGGGTAGCTAAAGTTGGTTCAGTGTGTTGGAGAAAAGAAAGGGGGTGAGATCATACCTTGTCATGCCATACTTTAATACCTTACTTTACACCTACCTGAAGGTTACCCATAGTTAAAGTTGATCACTTTAACTTATTATATGATATTTGATGACGCCAGTATCATTAAAAGAGAGGCCACCAGCCACTCCCTCAAACCTGTCTCACCAACTCACATCTAGAAGCAATTAGGGTCACTGCTCTCTCTCTCCACCCCCTATAGTCAAAAGGCTATATAACCCCACCTCTAATCCTCATTAGTGCCGGCCTTGATGTTCAAACACCACCAAAACTAGACCTTCATATCCACCACCATCATATCCTAAGAAATTAGAAGGAAGGAACAAGAACAAGAGCTAGCTTAGCTTAAAATTTGTCACGACTCGTCCCGCTCTGTAGTTTTCAGTAATTGTAGTGATCAATGGGAAGGTCTCCTTGTTGCGAGAAAGCTCACACAAACAAAGGAGCATGGACTAAAGAAGAAGATGACCGGCTTATCGCTTATATCCGAACTCACGGCGAGGGCTGTTGGCGCTCACTTCCTAAGGCTGCCGGCCTCCTCCGATGTGGCAAGAGTTGCCGCCTTAGATGGATCAATTACTTAAGGCCCGACCTCAAACGCGGCAATTTCACTGAAGAGGAAGATGAACTCATCATCAAACTCCATAGCCTCCTTGGTAACAAGTAAGTGATCTAATATTATTGATACATCATATATCTAACCATACTGAATAAAAGAAAAAAGAAAAAAAATTAATGGTTTATATCTCTCATTGTTGTTAATTGTAGATGGTCACTCATAGCTGGAAGGTTACCGGGAAGAACGGATAATGAGATAAAGAATTACTGGAATACCCATATCAGAAGAAAGCTTATGAACCGTGGCATCGATCCCACGACTCACCGGCCCATCAATGAACCGGCACCGGATGTCAAAACCATTTCATTTGCTTCTAAAGAAGAAGAGATCATCAAGATTACTACTAGTAGTAGTACCACAGGTTTGTTCATGAGCAAAGAAGAGAAAAGCCCGGTTCGCGAACGGTGTCCTGACCTGAACCTTGACCTTAAAATTAGCCCTCCTTCCCAACACCAACAAGAGCAGCCATTGAAGACAGGAGGGAGGACTACTAGCCTTTGTTTTGCATGCAGCTTGGGAATACAGAAGAGTAAGGATTGCAATTGTAGTATTATTGATGGTACAAGCAGCAGCAACACCACTGGTTATGACTTTTTAGGATTGAAGACCAGTGTTTTGGATTACAGAAGGTTGGAGATGAAATGATCAGTCTCTCAACAGCTTGGTATTAGTACTCTGAAAATCTCCGTGTCCCTCTCTCTCTCTTGTAATTTGTATAATTATTAGTACTACTACTACTGCATAGTAATATAGTATCAGTACAGATGACCATCTTGGTTATTCACTTAAATAGCAGATTTTGTGAATGCTATCTATTGATTATGGATAATTAATGGTTTAATTATTTTCCTTTCTTTCTTTCGTAATGTTCTTGCCCCTCTTCCTAATCAATACAAAAAGTTGCAGAACTTCGTATAAATTGCGGTTATCGGAAACCATCTCCTTACAGTAAAGGTAATACTGCGTACATTTGATCCACTTCAGATTTCACAATGATGGGAGCTTCGTGCTCTAAGACTAGATGATTAAACACAAAGATAATTATATATCCTCTCTTCCTCTTTAGTGATCCTCCAAAAAGTTTGCTTCTTTTTTTTTTTTTTTTTTAGTAGTGATCCTCCAAAAATAATTTGAATGGGTATATGGGGGTTGTTGCTTTTTGTTTTTCCAAATCAAGATTCTTTATGGGGTTTTGTCTTCTTCGGAAACAAGATTGGATTTTTTGGTATGGGGGGGTGCAATGGATAAGCTGTGAGAGGATGAGAAGGAAGGAAGAGGGAAAGGAAAGAGGAAGAGGTGGGTAACCTATCTCTTCCAATATATTAAAAGCCTACATAAAATGCGTGAAGAAACTAACAACTGTCTCTATTACCATCCTTCTACCAACCCAACAATTATTATCTTAGCCATGACCTAACCAATCCAAGCACTTAATTAATGAAAACCCTAACTAGGTTTTCCCGCATCTGATTCCATTCTTCTACTTAATTTACATCCCTCTTTATGTCATTTAAATTCTAATTTTAATTTGAAGGCATACTCAATTGTACAGAAATTTTGGATGGAAAGGCATTCCTTAAAGAGAAAGAAAGAAAAAAAAAAACCTTTTGGCATATTTTGTATGGAAAATGATATGCCATCCCGGGAAACAAGTAGAATCTTTCACGACCCTTCGATGCATTCATGTGGGACCCATTCATACGCCAATTGAATGTGAGAGGGCGGTGAAAGAAGATTTGGCCCTCGCATTTGATTTGTCTTTTTAGTGTACTTATCACTATTTTTGAAATTTTTGTTTTGTATTTGTAGTGTCACAGTTCACACAGTACCCACAATTTTCTTTTCAACATGCATGGTGACAAACAAAACATGTAGAAATTATATTAGGTGATTAAATAGATAAATAAAGAAAAAAAAATATCACTAATCAATTGGACTTTTTCGAATCTATTCCTTCAATGCAAAACGACAAAGAAAAAATGTCCTGTATTAGTTGTAATAATCAAAATTATGCGACACATCATAATATTTTATAATTCAACAAGTGAATATGGTCTATGAGTGCTAGACAAAACTTTTAAGTAGTTAAATAAATAAATTGATGAACTCCAACTATATAGAGAGAGAGAGCCACACACACAAACACACACACACACAGGGCTTTGAATGTGATGAGATCTGTTTCTACATTAAAAGGGGGATTGAGCGTATGCTATTATTAGTAGTTCATGGTTGGTAAGCAAGTTGGTAATCGAAATTCGAATAATTTACTGAAAAGCTATAAATGCTGTTACAGACAAGAATTTACTAAAAAGCTATAAATGCTGTTACAGACAAGTTGCTGAAAAGTGCTCATATTTGTTTTGTAGGCTTGGATTGACTTACTAATTGATTTGAACCACCATCAAAATGGAAACCGCCAGCATTAATTCAAGGTCGTGTCATTTGGGTCCGACCAGAACGACCAATCTGGTTGTGCTTCAACAATCACTGGGTCAGTGGGTCTGGCTCCATTAATGAACCTCCCTTGGCTAATAGTAACATTTTATACATAAATACATATATATATATATATATATATATATATATATAAGTGTATGGGTGCACATTATTTGTCAGTACTTGTCATAAACTCTTTTTAAAATTCACATATTTTGAGTACTAAAAATCACATATGAATCACATCATCAGCACATTGTTGCTAGTTTTGAAATGGGACAAGTATTCCCTTCACGGAGGTGTCATTTAGCACAAAATTTAGTGATTGAGATTGCATCATCATTATTAAATTCTGTACTCAACCTCACCTACATTGGAGAGAATTCTTATCCTCTAAAATGGCCCTATCATTAAAAAAAAAAAAAACTGTCATAAAACCTTGAAATAAAAGTTAGTAAAAAAAAAAAAAAAAAACTCCTACTCAATCAAATTTAATTAAAAAAAATGAAATGCATAGTTTGATTAAGGTTTACTATAAATAAATTTTGATACGGTATAATCTTTTTATTATTCTATTTAAAACAATTAGTTGTTATAATCAGATCAAAAATTTTAAAAAGCTCAGAATTGTTATAATAAGATGTGTATCAGATGGAAATCAATTGTATATAAATGTCTCACCAAACTAATTCTGTATATATACAATAATAAAAGGGGATTGATAGCCATGCGTGACAATAAGCCGAAGGGACAGATGAGTGGTAGCTACCTTGAAACAAAAACCCAAAAAGGAATGGCCCTTGACACAAAAAAAAGTGGCACTTTTTCAACATTTCACTCTCTTTTTTTCTTATTTTTAAAAGGAGTTAGGTAGAGACTACAGACATCAGAAGCTTCCATTAGATATTTTTTTATTTTTCCATTCTCTCACTCTCACTCAATTAACAAGATTTTTTTTGTTATTATTATATCTTCTCTCTCTATCAATAGAGTAATTATTGTTTAAACTAAATAACAGTAGTATATAGTACACCTCCCACCAACTTCACATGCATGGTGGTCCCTCTATGTTACCCTTTTGGATCCACTCCACAACCTCCAATAGTCCATGAAAATGTCATCAACCCCACTATTTATCTTTTTCTATTGGTGGAGGAGTGTAGTGTGGACACTCCAATCTTTTTATTTTACATGCTGCAATGCAACATAGTATATGCTATTCCAAAGAGTCATATGTGCTGAAAGTATAAATTGGAGACCAAAAATTACTATGTTAAGTCCACCCTGCCTGAATGCAAGGATGATGTTGTTTAGCTCAATGTGTGCCCTTAGGGTATTCTTGGTATTTTATATGTACGGATGTGCCAGGAATGTCAAAATTCAAATTTACTACAAAGTTGCAAAGCATTCCCTTTGTTTCAAATTAAACTTTGGAAACAGTTACTACAAAGTTGCAAAGTATTCCCTTTGTTTCAAATTAAACTTTGAAAACAGTTTCCAAATACGACGTTTAATTTGGGACAGAGGGAATGAGTCACAGTTTTCAAATACGACGTTTAATTTGAAATAAAGGAAGTATATATTAAGAACCAAACAAATATTCCTGTTTATTATGACAGATTGGAGTCTTGTAGTTTTGCCTAATATGATTTGGGCAATTATGGAGAGCACATTGCTTCTCTCACTGTTAAACTCTACTTGGAGTATTTATTTTGTGATTTTCTTGTTAAAGGTAATAGAGGAATATAGACACGTAGGTAAAAAGTGACCTCGTCATTAATTTTGAAAATGGATGAAGAAAGCAGTAAAAGCGGTTATTGAAGGCAATAAATAAACATTTTATATTGATTAAAAATAGATTAAGTGCAAGGAATAGGGAAATAAGCTCAAGTGTTGAAGTCCACTGAGGATAAAATGTAAGTTCAAGTATGTTGGTGCAAGCCCATTGCTCAGACATAAATGAATTATATTTATAGTACAAGCCCGAGAAAGGTAAGCCATTGGATTGGCTTCCTTATGGACGTCCAAGATGTATTGCAAGCCAGCAGAAGTCTCCGGTGAGGGCACCGATCAAGCGAAAGACAACTCTACTTTGGTGATGTGACAAATTGGTAAAAAATAAAATATTGGGACATCCTTTTTATCAGGAAATTAAATGTTCCGATTCGCTTATTTGTTTTAAGTAAATCACTTAGTACGTGTTAATTTGGGTGCAAACAGACGTGCAAAAGGAAAGAACTTGAGATTGACTTGTACATTACATATTCACAGTTAAATGTGTACTTTTTTTCATCTTGATTTTTTAAATCAAGTCCAATATTATAAGATTTGTTTTCCTCCCCAATTTATTAAAAAAAAATATATTACTCTCAAACTAAGCACGCATTTACGATAGGCTAAGTGTGCGAATGTATGTATATAAATAATTAAATTTATATATGCATACGTACAAATATGATCAAATCAAACTAATGTGGTAACTTGCATGATCTTCCACCTAGAGTTTGATTTTCTATTATTTGCTGCTCTTTTTTCTTTTCTTTGGATTTGATTAAAGTCATGACTCCTGACCAATAATTAAAACTCAAATTTAAAACATATGGATTGTCATATGTAGCCACAAATTTCACTATTATATCTTAGAACAGGTCTTTGTAGACCACATTAACTGACTCAATAGATAGAAATGGATCCATCAATGCCATTATAGGATTGTGTTTTCAGAAAAGACGGTAATTCAAATTGGAAGATGATGTAACATGCTTGCTTAGTTATGCTTCTTAACTTATTTGATTATTGATTAACCTTATTTTATATAAGGTCCAAATATAATATATACACCAGAAGTGAGCATAACTTTATATGAAAAATTATTTCAAAGAAAAACTTTAAATGAAAAATTAATTTTGTTTTTCCTGGCTTTTTACATGAAAAATTATAAACCAGAAAAAAAGTATATACTACTGTACTATTTTTCTCACTGCGTAAGAATGATGGAGATGGCAGAGTTGTAATATGGATAGAGATTGATGGCATTGGAAATTACTAGTATGGGTCCGTAGTAGTCCCACACGCCACCAACTCTCCGTCCCATAATGGCGTTCGGTTGCGGCGGTGGGTCCGACGCACTTCCGGCAAAGTCAAGTGGACCCATTTTACTTGCATAGGCATCACCACCTTCACCCTCCTTATCCAGTTATCCTCACCAAACTTCTTTTTGCTTCTCACTAGTCTCCCGCGCTATTCTCTCACCTCACCCTTCTAGTCTCAATCCATATAAAATATAGGATAATTTACAATGACATCTGAGGTTTGCCGCAAAGACAAACAAAATGCACTCTTTATATTACCTAGAGTCCCGGAAAACACTCAATATAATATGTACATGGAGTATTTAACTCTTTATACATTTTAAAAAGTTTTTAAC